ACAAATAAGTAACTTTTTTTTGAACATCTTTTTTAAACACACACATACACACACACATACACACACACGCGCGCGCGTATGTACGTATATATATATATATATATATATGTATGTATGTATGTATATATATATTATATATATATACATATACATATATACATATATATATATACATATATATATATACATACATACATATATATATGTATATATATATATTATATATATATATATATATATATATTAAAGAAATAAGTTTTAAGGACAATAGCAGTTGAATTACTTTTTAAAAATTATATATTTTATACAATCTTTGTAAAAAGATTGTATAAAAATGTATAAATAAAGAAGTACGAATAAAACATAAGCTTACATATATTTGATAAATCTCTTAAAAAACAGAATTGTTTGATAATTTATTTAGCAAATATTGTATATTAGTAAAATTTAAAAATTATTATTATTTAAAATTGTTGCTGTATTTTTTATTTCCATAATAACTACTTGTTGAATGTACGCTAAAAGTATTAATTTTATTAAATATTATAGTATAATATACTGCATTAAAATACAGAAAATTATAAACATTACACATGTTTAACTAAAAATTACATTGTTAATATTTCTTGTCATTATTAATACTCTGATTTATTGTCATACATTACATTACATAAAAATATTTCATATCTTGTCAAAATTAAATATATATTAATTACAAATTTTCTTTGGGATATCCGCGTGCTTTTGCTTCTTTGAACATAGCTACGAGAGAGTCCATAGTTTCTTCTCCAGATGGGATAATTTGATCAGGAGGTAGTAAAAAGCCATAACGACCACGATCGCGTAACTCGTAGGTATATGTAATAGGTTTACGATAAATGCCTTTAATATAATCCACCGTAATGCCGGTGCATACATCTAGAATTTGCAATGTTTAAGAAAAAACAATATATCTTAAAATTTATAATTATTGTACTCTTGAAAAATATGATAATAAATAAATCAGTTTTAGTTATAAAAAAATTCATCATAAAATATGCTTAAATTGCAATTATAACATAGCAAATAATTACAATGTATTAACAGGATAGATAAGATGAATAAAAATATTCAAACTTACAAATCGTCTCAGCGACATTTCCAACCCGATAATCAGTTCCGTATCTGTGTTTAAGAGCTGCAACGGATTTTAAGCCAATAGCGTGCTAAAATCACAAAATAGAAATGTTAACAATATTATCTGTTAATATTAACTATAAATTTATTAACTATAATTTCTATAATTAACTATTAACTACAATTTCATGTGTGTGATTATTAAGGTAAATCTGAAACTATTAAATTATAAATGCAAATGTAAAGAATATATTTAAATTTGCAAAAATAAATTTAGCATCCAAAAATATTATAAATAAATAAAATAATAATTAAACTAGTGCATTGCATATGTAATTTATTAAATAATATAAATATAATATATTAAATGATAATTTATTAAATAATAATTCGTATTATTTTATTAATGTATGTATGATAATAAAATTAATATAAATTAAGATAATAATAGTTGTTATTTTACTTTTAGAAACATTACTTTTTTATTGTTATTACAGTCAAATATGTTTCTAAAATTATCTTCTATCAACATAATTTCTTACCAAATCCTCATGATTGTCAAGATGTTCTTTTGTGTAACCATAAGGATACATCAAAAGTTGCGAATAACTATGGAACGAGATGTATGTGTAGAATTTGTCCGAAATGGACTCGATATACTCGGACATACTTTTCGTTTCTATCTCGGAAAATGGATGGCTTCCTGCATAAAGCTCAGAACATGGCAAACTAGTAAGGCCTTCAGCTGGATTAACAAATTATAATATTTGTAAGTATCTCGTAATTTTTGTACAAACCTTTGGTTATTTGTAATTGTAATAATAATAATAATAATAATAATAGTAATGATAATTTGATTATTATTATATTGTATTTTCTTATTACAGAAAATTAATACTTACACACCCAGTGGTAATTCCAATTTCTATTGGCGTCGGCTCCAACGCAGAGACCGTATGGTTTACGTGTCTTTCTCCATAATCGATTCTGGAAGCAATTAAGAAAATTTGGCTTGTATATAATTTTAATCTGTAACTAAACAATATTGTATATTAATATAACAACAGATTTACCGTGGTATGCGTGTATGCGTATCCATCGGGATTGAACGATGGGAAGATATACCAATCGTGGCTTTCTGCCAGGTCTCTAATGTCCGGGTCATTGCTACTTAGCAATTGATGTAAGATATACATAACAGTTGCCGGCGAGATCCATTCCCTGGCATGAATGCCGCCTTCGATGAATATTCCAGGATTATTAGCCTTAAAGGAAACTTTGACTCCTTTGATCTGACGACCTTCGTACGATCTACCGCCTATGATAGTCTGTACTTTATCAGGATATTGCTTAGCCAAATCATCTAGATTCTTGTAAATTTCTTCAAGAGTATGATAACTGTTAAAATCGAATAAAATTGATCGATTCGCAGGTATCGTTTGATCAATCAACGTCTGAACATTTTCGATGTAAGTCTGATATGGTATTCCGATTCGAGTCATCATTTCGTAGAATTCAGGCAACTTGTGCGGAGCGACCATGAGATCCACATTTTTGTTTATAAAACTAGGTGCTTCCCAAAATGAAAACTAAAATCAATATTCAGTTGTTGTATGCTTGTTGTAATTTTTATATTAATAATTGTAATTATATCTTATAAATTATTTAACAATTTTGCAGATTTATGTGTAATTTTATAAACCTTAATTAACATAAAATAAAAAAATAAATTCCTGAAATTAGGATGTTACATTAATTATATAGATATTGTAAATATTAAAAAATTAATTAATAAAACTTTTATATTTATAATTACATGACTTTAGATTTTACTCGGTAGCAATTTTTGTACGTAATTGAATAAAATCTTATATAAATACTAAATACGGAAATTTACGATAATATAATTTATATAATTAATTCTGTTTGCTTATATTTAAAAGTATATACTCACTCCATCAAGAATCTCCTCTAGCTGGCGTAATTCGTTGACTTGCGTCTGCGTAGTAGGAATAATTCTGAAGACTTTATAGTTGTTAAAAGTAGCTTTCTGGGCGATTGTTAAGCACACGATTATACACAACGTTATAATCTTTAACATGATGATTCTGCACATTTTAATATGTAAATTAATTATCTAGCTACAATAATTATAATTATGAGTACATTAATATATTTCATCAAAATGTGATTTCGCTTAATACGTTAAATTAATACATTAATAAATATTATTATTGATTACTCTACCGATTTGTTAATTCTTGTTATTTATTATTACTCAATCACTTTTCTTTCAATAAGATTTTCTTCTTTCTAAAATTGAGACGTTTATAACTGTTGCCACACTGTTCATTATATTTAAATATCATATGCACACGACACCAACGAATATCAGGGATCGTTTGATCGTCATCATTTGAGAAAAAAATCACGTTGGTAGATCTATCGAAGAGAGATTAGATTTTACCACATGTCTATCAAATTAGTTGCGAAAGTCTTATATTTTATCATTGTTTTGATAGATTATAAACAAATAACTGCTAAAACTGTATTTATTTCTATATAAATAAATTTATATAATAATATTATATAAAAAAATTAGTTGTTAGTTTTACATAATTATTATATGTATATTTATATTTGTATATATAGATACACTATCAGCTCCGTCATCTAATCGTAAATGATTTATCGATTAGTTATTCGTGACTGATAACTCCGTTTTTAATCACATGTTAACATTTATCGTGACAAGCAAGATTAATATAAACATGCAAGTCATTAATGTAAACAAAAAATAGATTTAATTTAATTAAATCATATTAAGTCTAAAAGTAACATTACAAAAATAAATTCAATTGTCTCCTAAAGTGATTATATACATTTTACAGAT